AGCTCATCTTCGTGAACTGCTTTGGAAATCCTCAATGAATCGTCATTTGTATAACCTTGAGTACTCAATAGAGTGAGATGACTTGGTAATGTAGTGGAATTCTTGTTGTCCTGACGAATCATTTCATGGGATTTTCCTCCTTTACAGCACTCAAGATTTATACACTTTATATTGTCTAGTAGTAGTTCCTCGACAGTTGCATGAAGGAGTGAAATATGTCTTTTTGGAAATGCCAAAGATTTTAATAGGCTGCAGGCTTCTTTTCCGATGAGTGTGCAGCGGTACGTACATCCCAAAAATCACTATCTCCCTAAGTCTTCAATATTCGGTGTTGACCACATCAGTTTTAATAGACTCACCTCGCTAAAGGCGCTCGGTCATGCGCTTGCACCAAGTCACGAGTGGGAACGCCGTGCTCAACTTCTCCTGCAACCTCCAGCTAGTTTAAGTCAGTCACTTTTCGATATACTGCTAGTCTATCAAATATATTTTCGAACCTCTTTGCTTCTAACTTCTGATTTCACTGAATGGGCACGTTTCCATCATCGAAGGTGTTACTGGTTAAAGTGTTGTCAAACTCCAAATACTTGTGGTATCTTCAAATGCGAGAAAACGCGCCACAGTGTCAACGTCCCCATCATCTTCCTTGGTCAAAGCCCGGATCTTGAACCCTTCAGATCTACTGTTCAAAAACTATCAGTAATAACCTGCCGTTAAAAGATTTCTGGAGCTACGAATTTAAGGGATTACTTAACAAAGTTTGTACTAGTAAGCCCATTATACATTTAGTAATTAAATAGTTAGAAATTAAATTAATTACTTTTCATGAAAGGAAGGCAATCCAGTCAATCTAGGAGCGTATTTCAACCTTAACAATAGTCAAATTCATTTGTGGTGGATCCTAGTACGACAGATTACTCAAGATATAACAATACACATGGTCACTAATGAAATACCAAAATGAATTAACACTGTAAACCAAAACCTCTGTTTATGACTAGGGCGAAACGGCAATAAATAACACTTACAACTATATGGATGCACAATGCTGAAGAGGAAGAAACGGCCATTCAGTGCTACCAGGTTTTTAATAGTAGTCTGACATCAATCGATTCATGATCTCAATCAGAAACGTAGTAATATCCACAACCCCTGTACTGGAAAGATGTAATGCTTAGGTCGACAAATTAATGATCCTTTCGCTAATCTAATGACTAACAATCATTGGGTTGTAAAACTTCATATGGTCATGCTACAAATTAGATGGACAATAAAGAGAATTATTTACGATTACTTGAGGAGTCTTTAACTTCAGTCTCCAGTGCTCTGCATGATTTAATTGATCATGTGCAAGTTATCAAACAACACTTGAGCAAAATTAAGATGTCATATTTTAAATGATAACAACGACCAATACATTTTCCTCACTAACTAAATTACTGCTCAAACATTTTCGTCAGAAAAACACTATCCAGTGATGGCAACAAAGACAATTCCTGAGTAGACAAACTGAACGCCAGTTGACATTGACAGACAAAACAGATTCCCCACTTCAAGATTTATTGAACAGTTTATATCATAACGTGTATTGTCTAAAATATCTACCACAACACACAACACAGTAACAAAATCGAGAAGATTTTTTCATTGACTGAAACAGTATCTACAGCTAGTCATATCTCTTTAATCAAGTTCAGTCCTTCATTAACCATGTGTGTGTGTGTGTTTATTTCTTGTCACCGCAGTACACGCCACTATTTCACTTATTATTCAATTATACTCATACACATTTTACATACATACATGGATGTACACTTTAGATACTGCACAAATTGTCATCATTATTTCTGAATTTGAACACCAAACAATCCTTTAGACGTCTTAGCTATTCATCATACATTATTGTGTTATTTTTATCGTCAAATCTCATGATGATATTAGCATTTATGTCATAGCGAATTAGTCTAATTATTTATGTCAATAAACTGTTTGTTTACTCACATACAAATGCGGTCTAGATTGTTTCATAACAAATTACCATAAAAACACTTTATACGAATTCTTAATAGTTTTTATCAGTATGGGGTTGTGGAAATTGTTAAATTTTTGATTGAGATCATGAATCGATTGATGTTGGACCACTATTGAAAATCTGGAAGCACTGAACGGCCGTTTCTTCCTCCTCAGCAGTGTACATCCACGATCCCGCATGTGGATTCGGTCTCGCGCTTGAACGCTTAATCTCTAGACTCCTAAGCCTGTATTCAATGGTGTTAATGTGTAACTTCAATCGACCCATGATCTTGCACAACCATACATCCGTTGTCTAAGATAGATAACTGTTTAAAAATCCCCATAGAATATTCAAAAACGAAGAATATTTGAGCGAACAATTGCGTTTCAATAACTTCATCATCAGGCTTTACAGTTATAAGTCCATAATTATAATATTTTACAAAGGCCAAAAATAAGGCATGTTTTAATGAGTTTGACAATGTTATGTGTTAAAAAATGGTGAGCGTTTGCATCTGTTACGATATTTAGATATATACTTCAAAAAATTGTAATATTTGCAAATTAGAAAGGTCATTCAATAAAGGTCAGTAAATTGGTCATTCACAATAAGATAATATAATAGTACTATTGCAAAATTGAAAATAATTTTGTCAACTGAGATAACAATAATAATATTGTTGTGTGAATAGAATATGTAATAAGGGGGGTGTTATCAAGGTAATTACGGTCAACAAATTGGGAATGATGGATATGAAGATTAAGATATAGATAATGACAAATAATGATAATAAGGAAAATAAATAAAATGAAGGAAGGGGTAAGTGGTTTATAATATTCAGTCTAGGTATTCGGTCATCCAGTCGTAAGGCAGGGTAAACATAGAGGCTGGATATATTTCTTCTGGATGCATAAATTAGGTCTTTTGGAGTTGATCCAGATGGCTTCGGCTGTGTAAAGCAGTCGTAATCTAGCTCCTTGAGGTGGATATTTTGGAACTTGATATAAAACAGAGAAAGCTTCATCTATTTCGATATGATGTTCACTATCTACCCAGTGAGAAAGAATGGTGCTGTTAATCGATTTGGTGACTCCTTTTCCCAACCATGCTGGTACATGTTCACGAACACGCAAGGATAAAGCCCTCTGAGTACGGCCTATGTAACTAGCTCCACAGGAGCAGTTGAATTGGTATACACACATGGAGGAGCCCATCTTCGGTAACTTATCCTTGATTAGTTGTGTAAGTACTGGTTTAGTCGAGAAAGTTATGTGTAACTTGGCGGCATGAAAAGTCCTCTCGACAGATCTTTTGAGTCGACGTGTTAGAATATCACCCGCTATGTCGCCTTTAAAGTCAAGTTTCAGATATAAGGTCTTTTTGCTGACTGTGTCGCAATATCTTCTCTTTTTAATACTTTGTACGAGGTATTTTTTGACGAAATTATCAGGATAGCCATTATTACGTAATGTGTTCTTTAGTATAATTATTTCTTCCTCTACACTGTCTTCTAATTTGCAAATATTACAATTTTTTTTTAAGTATATATCTAAATATCGTAACAGATGCAAACGCTCACCATTTTTAACACATAACATTGTCAAATTCATTAATACATGCCTTATTTTGGCCTTTGTAAAATATTATAATTATGGACTTATAACTGTAGAGCCTGATGATGAAGTTATTGAAACGCAATTGTTCGCTCAAATATTCTTCGTTTTTGAATAGATAACTGTCTCTACGAGACATAGATTGGACTCCACTGATCATGGCTTCTCACTAGAACTCCAAGAAATCATCTTGAAGCCAGTTACTAGTGTGTACATTTATTTATTCAAATAACCCTTATGTAATTGTGTATTATATTCTAAAGTAATGCACATTCTACCACGGTTAAATTTCTATTTTCGTATTTCTTGTATTGTTATTACGTTTACTTTCCAACACATTCATTAACTGAATTATATATTTACATGTGTTTGTGTATTTAATAACCACAACTGTTTGTTCAAAGCTTAATTATTGTCCAAGCAAAAGTTTCCTCTCTGGAATTTCGGCGAGATTCTAATTTATGGACAACCTTTGGATGAATCTTAAGTGACCTTGAGGAATATAAGCCAATCAGCAAACAGTCAGCGCAGAGTAAAAATAAAGTGGATACACTTCTTATACGTGGTTCAAAAACTTTTCAAGGTTAGAAAGAGGTTCAGAGGTTCTAAAATCGTAATGCATCCAGTAGAGGAAATCATCCATACGGCTACAGAATAGTCGGCCTCTGAAGCCATGATGAAGTCTCAAAAACTCTTTCAGCCTGGACCATATAGTTTCATTATTGTTTATGTGCACTTCGGTTGTTGAGTACACAAAATGCTACTTATGGATAACGACACGATGCACATAACCAAGCCTCTGTAGGAGTCTGTACGCTCTCCAAACATCCGTATATATTGTAGTACCTGGCTGCAGCCAGTGTTACTGGTACTTTTATTATCCATTTCTTGATAATTGTCATAATTTGCCTTAGTTAAGAATTATATATGGGGTTTTCATCACGAACTGACATCAGCTATAATGCCAAATGGATGAAAGGCTTTCACGTTAAAATCCGAGATCTATTATCTTATACTGATTGATTCGTTCAAAAATTATAGTCTCGCTGTTTTATTTGTTATAGCCGATCAATTATCACGTTTTGTACAAAATTCCTTGTGAACCAATCGTACGTTAGCATTAGGCACTGAAGTTGGCGCCGTAACCTTGAAGTCCCTAAAACGCTTCTGATTGGCTCGTCCATAAATTAGAGTCTCGCCTAATCTTAATTACAAGTATGTTTACTGTATTTTACTACCTTCAAAATACAATTCAATAAATAAGAGATTTGTATAATTTACACATTTATTATTTATAAGAAGAGATGCTTCACTTTAATTTAAAATGACTTGAACAGAAGTTTCTTTTGTTTGTATCGACATATTCCTGTTTTTTATCCGGGGAAAATCAATTTCTTCAGATTCCCAATATCCAAGAAGCATCCATTTAAAAATGTCAACAAATGAGTTCTGAAAATGATAATAATATACTTGAAATATTTGTAATTTACATTATATTCATTTGATAGTATGGGATTGTGAAGATTATTAAGTTTTTGAATGAGATCATGAATCGATTGATATTAAAACACCATACTGATAATTGCCATGTTCTCAGTAGTGACTAGCTTTGTGAGGGAATTCTAGGAGTTCTAGTGAGAAGCTGTGACCAGTGAAGCTAGTCCGTGTCGGGTAGAGACAGGTATCTACTTCAGTACAATGGAAGTTGGTCGCGCAATTTCGTGGATTGGTTGATGTTGGACACTAACACCATTGGGTGCCGGCTAAGTGGTCCAGTTGGTTAAGCGCCTGGCGCGAGACCGATAGGTCCTGGGTTCGAATCTCGCAGGGAGCGGGATCGTGGATGCACACTGGTGAGGAGTCCCATACTAGGATGAAACGGCCGTCCAGTGCTTCCACGTTTCCAACGGTGGTCTAACATCAATTGATTCATGATCTCAATCAGAAACTTAACAATCTCCACAACCCCTATACTGGAAAATATATTTACTTAATTTTATGAAATTTGGGGAAAGTCTCATCTATCTTTCAATCAATCAACCAGTGAAATCAACAGTGGTTATATTTGTTCAAATTTGTCACTATGGTCTTTTCCATTTACTACATACCTATTAATCTCTGAGTACTAACCAATATTTGGCTTAAGTTGAATTTTAATTGGAAATACTCAGAAATTTATTGAAAAAAAACCCCTGACCTCTTAAGTTTACTCGAATGCGTTCATTCTATGTAACCACTTTTCGAATATATCTTAAGTAGTTGACTTTTGGAAATAACTCTACACTATATCCATCATAGTTTAATACTGTTTCTATTAGTAATGCATTTCATCGAAACCGTTCCTTTAAATTATCAATGATGTTGGTGAGGTTTTGGAAGAAGGTTAAGATAACTTAAACTGAATAAGGTTACTCTTATACTCCAACGTTGGAACCTAATATCTTCATAAATTCACTTATTATTGTTTTTTTGAATCTTCCCATTGATGTTTAGGACTGCAATTGAACAGTCTCGTATTGGCATATATGCATACTGTGCGTATGCCTTGATATTGCCTTAATTCACAAGCATTATGTGCAAAGATTGATAGTGACTTGCTGTGGAATCCAGGACTCGCATTTCGTCCTATTTGAGATTCGTCAGCCGGATGTACCTACATCTCAGAGTTGATGTTCACTCTGGGACTCATCCATCTTTGCATATAATGCTTGTGAATTAAGGCAATGTTGAGGCAGTCTGCACACGATGCAAATATACCATAAGAGACTGATTAATTGCAGTGCTAAACATTAATGGGAAGACTCAAACAAACAATACCAATTGGATTTAAACTCCACCCCATTGCACAAGCAAGTGGCTATCAGGCATTTGAAGCGAACGGTACTGAATTCGATTCCCAGACTGAACATCCACTGTGAGATACGGGTACATCCATCTGATGAGTCACGAATAGGGCGAAACGCGCAACCTGGGTTCCACTGCTAGCCGCTATGCATCCTTGCATCTAATATCTCCTTGTCTAAAGTTTTACAGTTGTGTGAGAAACTTCAAAATGCGTCTGAATTATTAAATACACTACAATTTAATGAATCAAATAAACCATTCTAAGTCAGTTCGGAGATCATTTATGGTATAAAATCTCATTTTTTTGTTGTAGTAATTATACCTAAAATAGGTACAAGAAGATAAAAATCATCGGCGGTTTTTTCTCAAATTAATCAAAACCAAACTTTATTTCCCGGAAATTTAACTCGATATCTATGTGTCAGTGGTACATCCGACTTCCATAGAAGTTCCATCATAAACACAGATATAATTCATTTACTTTGTTCTACAATCTGTTATTTAATTATGGCATTTATAGTGTGTGTATGTATATATGGAACATTAATGTGTGCTACTGATGTCCACAGATATAAATAGCATGTATCCCCAGTCGGAAGTGGAATGCAAGGTGGTAAAAAGTTAAGAAGATCGAAGAGAAGGAAATGAGAACAATGACTGATTGGTATAGAAGCGAAGAAACAATGAACTCTGAGACAATTGATGGATATTTCTTAAATGAGCTACTTACTTTATGGTTCACAGATTTCACCAAAATATTCTGTAATGTTATGTTAAAATACATTTGGATGTCCCCACTTGGCATTCTCATTCACTACTGAACTACAGATATATTTTATGAAAGTCCACGATAAAAAGTTAGGTCTTGGACAGATTTTAAGTGAATCATATAGTGAAGAGGAATAAATTTTGATATTTAAGATCAAATAGAAAAACAAATCAATGATTATAAGGATGTTCAACTAACTTACCCAATAGCCGTCGCAATTCTAGTGTAGAGAAAATATGAACAGTCAGAATAATTTATCGAATCTTGAGTGAGACTATAATTTATGGACGACGTTTGTGCCATGTTAAAGTGATCTTGAGAGTGTCCACCTAATAATCAGAACTAAGCAACGGTTATAGACATGTGTCAGCAATTCGAATTATGATTTGCGGTTGGTGGTCAATGTTAGGAAGTTTTCATGAAGTTTTCATCATGAACTGATATCAGCTATAATCCTAAAACTCTGTTTAGCCAAATGGATAAGTGAATTTCGCGCCAGAATCCGAGACCTGTTATCTTATATGTGATTGGTTCGTCCATAAATTATAGTCTCACCAAATCTTGCTATGATACTATAGATATGCTTTGATTGTTCTATGAATAGACTATTGATAACCATTTTTACCAGTTTAGATTGGAAGAAAAGTATAGTCATGTTAAATTATTTTAGTCAAAATCATAAATTAATTGACTGGACTTAAATGAATATTTGACAACTTTCAAACACAACCTTCATTAAGACAAAGAATGTTCACTTCAGCTTTGTGGAATATTACTCAATTTGGCATTGTTATTCCAAAGTCATTTGATATGATGTTGAATAATGTTGTTTTAAAATGATCTTGAACAACTCAGTCTAAGTATACATTTGACTCTTCAGAAATCTTTGACTTCTGTTACTGAGGTCTAAGATTCTAACACTTCACATAATTTATAAAAGAATGTATATATTTTGAAAAACTGCTCCCATTACAATTATAACCATAGACTGCTCACAAGTACTTGAAAGTACTCACAGAAGACATTTCACTACTTAATACTGTTCAAGCATTCAACTAGCATCGATAATTTTCACCCGAATAGAACATTTCCTAGTTTAATTCATTATTCTTCTCACAGTTATTGAGTTCAGTTCATTGATGAGCGATTCAGATGGAAGTCTTAGGATGATCATCATACTTCAGAAAACTATTGACGTAACACTCTAACAATAACTGCTTGATTCGCCTGAACTATCCAAATTATCTGACCATAACTTACCTTATTCAAGTGTGCATATATGTTGAGCAAAATGTTTCGAGAATGTGATTTGTAAATGTTTTATTAACCTCGAAAACAGAGTTTAACTCGTTTTTAACATTCGTTAAAGTAACTCAAATTCAATGGTACATAATTATTGTCTTTTCAAATGACTATCACATTGTATGATATTTTCTTCCTTGAAAGTTAAGAGAACATTTAGTTACAAGAAATTTATTAATAAACGAATTGTGTAAGTACAATTCATCAACACTAATCAATCAAGTGTTTCATTCAATAAATAGTGCTAATGAAATTGGTTGTTATCACATCTACTAAACATAATTCACTCTTCTGAATTCTTTCAGTAATTTGAACTGACATTAATGTTTCACACTCTCAAAATTGACCATCTCAAACGATTGTTCAACTAACCGGCTACATTTTTTGTATTTGAAAAATGTGATAAGGAGGATAGACAAAGTGAGTTTGAATTCGAAAACTCCACTAAGATTTATTTGAAAATGAACATTTCAAATCATGAATTATCATCTATTCATCAGTAAATATGATAGAACAACAGATATACGACATATACTACTGAATTACATCATTTAATTAAAGTACAAACGCTGAGTACTTAAAAATCTTTATGGAAATTAAATACATTTTAATCAACTTAGTTAGTCTTTCAAGATTATCAATTATTTACTGTAATTGTAATATATGCTACTTATATCAACAAACATAAGTAGTATATAACACTAATTAGAAGTGAAATGTCTGATAACAGAACTTTGAGAAGATCGAGTCGAAGAGAACAGGAATACAATGAACGTTAAAGTTTAAAAGATACAATTGATAGTAAATGTACAAATGAAATGAAGTATTGAATGTAATGGTTATCATATTTCTCCCGAAGAATTCTATAATTTTACCTTAATCAATCATTTGATCTATCCTACTTACATCTGAATGTTCATTCATATTACATGATGACCAAGTTTAATTAGAATAATTAGAGTTTACAGTATCTAACCAGATTCATGAAATTGACTTTGTAAAGAAGTACTGAAATGTAAATTGGATATTCACAATACTAATAACATACATTTCATTAAAGGACCCTATTTTCATAGTAGCATTATTGATTCCATACAAAATGACTTACGGGCAAGGAAAAATTGTGATCTAAAATATATGTATGTATATATATAACATCTTAGCAAACCCTATGTGAAATCTCATTTTACATCGTATCAATGAGAGGTAATAAGTTAAGATCAATTATAATCTAATCTCCATGATTGAATTTACACCATAAACCTTCAGTGTCAATTCTCTTTTTCAATCACATGATTCAGTTCATCTTGCTGGGAATGTACGTCAACACTGAAGCAGTACTTGTTATGAATTATGAATTCTAAGGTAAGACAGAGATTATCAATAAATTTCATTTATATAAAAGATATCAATTATAGAATAGTCTAAACTCTTAATAATAATAATATAAGTATCAAATCTATTGAATAAGTTGTCAACTATCTACACTCTCTAATTCAATGGATAATGCATTGTCTTCAAAAAGATGAAAAGTACTCATTTCAAGTGTCACTGAGTATAGGTATATCAAGTTCGTTTGTGCTAACTAGAATGAGTTATGACAACAATTCAGTTTACTTAAGGATAAAAATATAATTCAGTTATTCACTAATTTAACTTTTCTGCATAGGCATGGTTGCTCAAGACTATGGATCAATTGAAGTTAGACATGAACACCGTTGGATAATAGCTCAGTGATCTAAAGGTTTAGTGTTTGCACGTGAGACCGAAGAGCGTGGGTTCGAGTTCCGTGTGTGAAATTGTAGATGTGGATTGCTGAGGGGTCCCATACTAGAGTTTAACGATCATTCAGTGTTTTCGGGCATTTCATGGTGATTTAGATTAGGACGACTCATGAATTCAACTTTATAAAAAGTTATTTACAATAGTTTTTATAAGCGTACTTTACATTAATCAGAAATCAGTTTTATATAACCTGATCGCTTATAAAGATCATAAAAAGTTTTGATAGTTATTTGTAATTAAGTCTATCCTATTAAATGTTGTTTGTATTAGCTAATAGCTAATACCAACTGGTGATAATAACATCTTGTTTCGCTCGTGGTTGTTTAATTGATTATGACAAATTGGACTTGTTAAACGATTCAGTAAATGTAAATATATACTTGATCTTTTGACCTGTATAACATCACAGATTGATTAAATGGTAGAGATGTAAATCAGTGGATGCCAGTACAATGATATAAAGGTTAAATTGTTGTTATGATACCTGAAGATCTTGAGTTCAACCTCCAATTAAGATTTGGATTCATACTGTTAAAGAGCCCTATTCTAAGATAAAACAGCTGTCTATTGCTTCCTGGCTTCAGTAAGTGTCTAACTGTAATCAATCCATAAAGTAAACAATGAAACTATCAGAAGATTAAATTATAACCGAATGGACATATGATACATATGTCATAATTACACATTACATAACATAAGACATATCTACTCTTCTCCCTTTAACACTAAACTACATTTATACAAATGACTGTTAGATAGTAACCAATATCAATGTGTATAGCCTTATCATTTAATAGATATATTTTTAATCCTTTGAATTTTAGAAATTCCCGAAACAGATTTAAGAAATGAACAAATAACTCACTCTTCAGGTTTTTGACTAAAATTGATATAAACAATAATAGAGTTATTGATAAAATGTTTAAATTGAAAAAGAAACTGATAACTGATTGTTACATTGATTGGGTTCGAATCCCGCAAGGTGGAATCATGGATGCGCACTGTTGATAAGTCTCATACTAGGACGAAATAGCCGTATGGTGGCTTCCTGGTCTAACTTCATGAATTCAACTATTGAAATTACTATAATATCCATAGGAATCCCTTCTGATTATATTGCTTATTGGACAAAATCTAAATTAATATTTTGTAAATTATTGTTATTATCAAGTGGTATTGACTTGACGATCGTTTCTTATTGTTATTAGAACTTCTGTGAATATTAGATTGTGTCGAGATTCCTTGGCATGAAGTGAAATTGTGACTAGTAAGAATTATCTTGGAGATTATCTAATGTAGTTTCAAAGGGTGATTGATGTGTGACAATGAAGCTAAATGTGTTAGGTCATTGATTGTGGACAGACAGGCACTCAATTCCCCTTATTGATTTCTACCCCTGGCTCAGTGCTAGTGATTGGTTATAGCTGTGTGAAATGAAATATTATGGTTAGAAAGGGGGGATTGTGGAGATTATAGTAATTTTAATAGATGAATTCATGAGTCAGTCTAAAATAAACCTGGAAGCACTGGGCGATCGTGCATTTAATCCCTATTGTGGGACTCCTTAGCAGTGCACATCCACGATCTTGCCTCGCGAGATTCGAACACAGGATCTATCAGTCTCGCGCGTGAACGCGAGATACGTAATATGAAGCCTATAAACTTGAAGTTATACAGAAAAAAAACAAAAAAAAACGCTTAGTTCTAGATCATTAACATTCAGATAATGACTTACTCTGTATTACCGTTATCACGTACAACTGACGAAGATTTTAGAATATGAATATAAATGATTTATAATAGAGATTCACATGTTTTATATTGAATTAAATTATAAAGGAAGATGAATTAATGAAGTCTGTATGAAGTACTGAAGTGAATTCATGAGTACAGTTGATCAATTTTATTGTATAAATACTATAGTTTTGGAGCTATTTACCACGAACTGCTTTACTGTAATCGTTAATTATTAAGTGTAATGATTATTATGTAATCTACTACATAGAAACTGTAACAGTTAAACAAATTGATTACTTCATTTCTTTAAGTTCACTAGTCTTTTGATAAATGTGATATAAATACGACACACACACACACGCAGACGATATAAACAGACATCAGTGAACACCAGAAATAGTATACACTTATTGATGAAGTAGAGACGAAATCTTTTTGAATAGAAACTATCCATTCATTTCCCTTTTAAGGTAAATTGT